TAATAACAAAAACAAAAATCAAACAAAATCAAACAAAAAACTTAAGTCAATGAACTAAAACTTCAAGATGGATAGATGATGGCTTAAGCATATCATCAACTAATTAGGAAAAAGGTGTCCTCTCTCTACTTTCCTTTTAAACTCCACATTTGAATGTCTCCTATTAAGTCACCTTCTAATTTTTCCTTGGCCCTCTTAATGTGTTAATAACAAGTGCAAATCGCTTCATATTGGAATTAATAATAAGCATCTTTAAATATGAGCTGTTACACAACCCATCTTTGTATGATTTTTTTCATTTACCAACTCCCATTTGGAGACAGCTGTCAGGAAAACACTGAGTGACAACTGAAGAACAGTCCTGGTGTTCATCACCAAGCAAGCAATGAGAAGTGCTGAAGTTGACACAGGAAAATCCTCTGATGTGCAGTAGAGTAGAAGCCACATTTCCCAAGTAAAGCTAATAAGAGGGAGACTGATTCCATCCAGAGTCACGGCCCCTACGGGAGAGAATAAGTGAAACACAACCTCCACTCTGAGGGAACTTAAATCCATACTACAGAGTAGATGAAGATGCCACAACTGTTATACAATTACACTGTTAATACAGTGAGTAGGAAAATGGACTTTGGTGTCACATAGATCGAGGTTCACTTTTATTGGCTCTGTGACAGTAGACTGGAACTGCTCCATGTCACAGTTTTATCACAGAGCCGAGAGGAGGGAGACATAAAATAAGCCACACAGGGCATACCTTGCTGTTTAAATTTCAAGTAGAAAGCCCATATTCCTCCTCTGCCACCGCTAAAAAGAAAGAACTATGTATTGTAGCATTGTAAGAAGTTTGGCTCAGAAAGCTAAACATTCTGAAAATCAAATTAAGTTTCATAGAATAAAATGTAGATGGCAATAGTAAAAGGTAAAGATACATGTGACAAATACATATATTATGTAAATGTAGAAAACCAAAAGCATGCCCGGCGCCGGTGGCTCATGCCTGTAATCCTAACTACTCAGGAGGCTGAGAACCGAGGATCACAGTTCAAAGCCAGCCCAGGCAGGAAAGACCATGAAACTCCTATCTCCCAGTAAACCACTAGAAAACCAGAAGTGGCGCTTTAGCTCAGGTGGTAGAGTGCTTGCCTTGAGCTGAAAAGCTGAGGGATAGCACCCAAGCCCAGAGTTCAAGCCCCACGACCGACAAAAAAAAACCAAAAAACCAAAAAACCAAAAGCATTTCTCTAAAGACAGGAATGAGATAAGGGTGTCCACTGCTTTTCAAAATAGTACTAGGATACCTAGTCATAGCAAACCCTAAGATATGTATTTAAATGTTTTTTTCTTTCATGCATTTGTTTCTAATGCATTTATAAGATTATTTCTTTGTTGCTTTGTATGTCCCTCCCCCACAGTATAACCCCTGCTTTCACTGCATTTGATGTCGGTATAATTTGTGGAGGGGAAGGGGAAAAACAAGTCGTTTAAATAAGGATACAGGTGGACCCGTTGCAACAATAAGAAGTACAAGTTGTCATGTTGAAAACGAACTTTACAACTTTGGTGGTGGGGTGGGGGGAGGATTGGGTGGGAGGGCTAGGGGAGGCTGGGAAGGGATGGGAAGGGGAAACAAAGGAGGAGGCTACAATGCTTGATAAGAAATGTACTCATTATCTTGCCCATGTAATTGTAACCCCTCTCTACAGTATTTTCACAATAAAAAATTAAAAAAAAAATAAGACTGGGAGGTACAGAAAGATATAAAAGGGATTCAAATAGGGGAGGAAGAAGTCAAATTATTCCCATTTGAAGATGATATGTTCTTATGCCCAAAAAAGTATAAAAGTTTCACCCCAAACTCCTAGATCTGATAAACATTTTAGTAACATAGCAGGATACAAAATCAACATACAAAACTCAGTAGCTTTTCTATATCCCACCAATGAACAGCCTGAGAAAGAAATCGGGAGAACAATCCCATTCAAAGTAACTTCCAAATAACAAATTCATGGGAATAAACTTAACCAAAGAAGAAAATCATAAGAGATCAAAGAAGAGAACTAAAGAATACACTAGAAGAAAGGCCTCTCAGGAATATACTGCCAAAAGCAATCTAAAATTCAATGCAATCTCCATTAAAACCTCAATGGCATTCTTCCCAGAAATAGAAATATCAATCCTAAAATTCATATGGTAACAAAAGACCTCAAATAGCAAAGTAATCCAGAGGAAAACAAAGGCAACATTTAGGTATCACATCAGAGTTCAAATTTTATACAGAGCCATAGTAACAAATGCACCACAGAACTTTCTGTCACACACACACACACACACACACACACACAATCATTAGACTTGTTAAAAGGGTAAGAGCAGGGGAGAAAAAGAGAATGGATTAACAATATTGAAACACATTGTATTTGTGAATAAAGACAACAAAACAAAACTCATTGAAAGATGTTGAAACACGGGAATTGAAAGGAGATAGAAAAAGAGAAAATAATGAGGAGGTCAATCTTATTGCAGTACAATATATTCATGTGTGAAATACCACTGTGAAACTCTTTTGAACAATTAACATATACTAAAAAAGTCAATGACAGAAATGTAAAAGAGGTCCTGCCCACTATACAACTACTTCTGGGAAAAGGAGGGTGAATAGATAAGGTAAATAAGATTAAAAAGTTTTATGGGCATATGTGGAAATGGAACAATGAAGCATGAGATTGGTTTGGGAAGTATGGTGAATGGAATGAGGGCAAGTAATGGAGCAGATGAATTTGATCAAAGTACATCATATGCATATCTGTCCAGATCAAAATAAAACCCCCTTGTACAACCAATACTTGTACAACTGGTAAATGCTAGTAAAATATGTGGAAGGGAAAAAAAACCAAAATAATCTAGTTTTGTGGTAGATACTGCCTTACAATAGAAACCAAAGATGTAAAGAATTGTTTTAAAGATGTACTAGAAAAGGAGTCAAAATAGGGGGGAAGCCTATTTATTAGCGTGTATTTAGCTAATGGGAAAAAAAACCCCACTATTTTCAAACTGAACGTTTCAGTTCAGTTTGCAAAAATACAATAGCATTTTTGGGAATCATACTTCAAAAGCCACCAGAGGCAAAATGCAAATAAAATAAGGAATACTAAGTATTTTAACACATAAATGCTTGTGTTTGAAGCCTTACTCTACACCAGAGTATATGATATTGGGAACAATAAAGATAAGCAATCAAGTGTTGCTAGTTATTCCTGGTTTATTTTTAAAGGAGAAAAACTGGAGAACCTGTATCATGAGCACACATACACTACAGCAGGCCAGGTCCTTGTTTTATTTAGCCAGACACATTGAAACTTAGTGGAAGCTAAGAGTTGGAACAGGACCAGAGTTTGTGGTTCAGTTTATTCTTGTTGGTGAGATTGTCCTCACAACATAGAAGTCTGCCACATTAAGTATAGCTCAATCCCTACTGACTATTGCTTATGTGTGGTCACGGTTTAGGCGACACTCAGGATTAGCTTAGAATAAGTCTCTTCACACATATATTTAAAAAGATTGCTAGATTCTTCAGCCAGTTAGCAGTTCCCAAGCCTAAGCTTGGGGGATAGGAGAGGAGAGAATGGAGAATCAGCTTTTAGTTGTCTGAATGAAGGTATTACAAATATTAAACAATCCTCTAATGAACTAGCAAAAGCAGGAAGTGGAGCTGTGACTCAAGAGGTAGAACACCAGGCCTTGAGTTAAAAAGCTCAAGATAGTCCCCAGGCCCGTGCTCAGGACCTGAGTTCAAGGTCCAGTACCAACAATAAAAAAAAAAGTTTTAAAAATTAGAGATAAAAGCAGGCAGGTTGGAACATAAAGTGTTGATTTGTTTATTGACAATAAAATAAAGAAATGTGGGCTTGGACATGATGCTGACTTTTGGCATAGTCTCTGTTCCTCAAGTAACATATTACCTTCTTATCATGAAAGAACATATCTTCTACAAAAACATTAGCAATTTTATGTTTTGTTCAAAATAAGAAGGTTTAAGCACATATACCATCAATTTTGCAAATGACTTAAACATAGATGAAATGTGTTCTTTAAACTGCAATTGCTTAATATATTCGGGGAATATGGATAAATGAGAAATTGCATTTCAACTGTTTTCTGCTCTTTTCCCCAAAGCATGTAAATAAAAAGTTCATTTTATGTGAGAATGATTTTTAAACTACAAGACTATTTTTTAAAATTTTCTCCATTGTGGCCAATTTCATATGAAACAAATTATTTTAGGCCTAATTGCAGTCAGAGCAGTTAGACTGTTAGCTCTACTAAAGTTGAATTTCATTTGAACTTTCTAATAGTATGATCTTTTTTCAGAATTTAATAACTGACTCAAATATTTAAGTCGATGCTTTTATTAAATTAAAAATAAATCAGGATATATTTTTAGAAGAACTAACTTATTTTCTTTATCAATGTTATCTACTTTAGAAGAAAAAGAAGAGTGGAACCAATCTCCCTGTGTATTTAAATAGACATTAAGGTTATAACCTCAGAAAATAATTTATTTCTGTGTGTATCATTGTCCAGAAGACTTGGTAATCACCAAATGGCAGTAATAACTATACTTCTAGTTCTACTGAATAGCAAATTACACTGACTGTGTGAACCTTTTGGTTCCAATCCAATCTTCTGTGTAATCACTCTCTAATATTCACATGTATTTCTTACAACATTTTTTTAGATTCCTGACTGCCTAACGGTTTCTGTGAAATGCAAGTCTTGTTTAAAATGCAGCAGTTGAAAGATTTTCTTGTTGTTGTTGCATGTGTCATTCTATCTTGACAGAAGGAAAGATCATTAAATGGATTAATTTACAAGCGTCCTTAGAAATAGAATGTTTTTACATAAAAGCATGTTGTAAACCTTTTTAATTAAAGAGCATTATGCCATATCCTCTTTTCTCCCCAGGTGTCTTCTGACCTCTCACCTCTTATTTTCTCCTGCAGGCACTCCACTGCTGGTGAGGAGAAGCAGTGACCCAGTGCCTGGGCCACCTGCTGACACCCAGCCAAGCGCTTCACACCCTGGTGGCCAGAGTCTGAAACCTGTTGTTTCAGTAAGTATCCTACAGTTTGCCTTTCTAGTGAGAGATCAAAGTGCCTTACCCTTACACTTCAGATACATAGTAACAAGTATGATAGTAGGTAGAATGATCTATCACTAGTGTGTAATTATGATAGCCACCATTATTAATATCAGACCCATTATGTACTAAACCCTGTGGGAAGTGCTTTACGTTGTCATCTAAACCTCCATATCAAGGTAGGCAAACCATTTTATTTTTATTTTATTGATGAGGAATTAAAACAGGAATTTTTGGTTCTGGGATGGAAGCCTCATAGCAAGGAAGTGATAGAGCTCTGAAGTAAAGATAAATGGCCTGCCTCTAAAAAGCATGCTTTGAACCAATGCACAACATTGTGACAATCTTCATTCTCCTGCTTCAAAACGCACAAGGATACAGCCTTTTCTAGTTCTAGTATGTTAACATAATGCTTTGTAAAAATCATACCACAGTGAATAGTGATACTATAGAATGTCATAGATATGTGGTATCAGTATAGAATTTCTAGAACTCAGTATTTGTACTAAAGAAAGTTAATAAATTAATAAAATTATATGCCCAAAATGGTTCTAACCAAATATACTTATGAGTGTCATATTTATACTTAGTAGGTTAAGTAGACAATAATATCCTGAAGAGATGTCTTCCTTCCACATAGGCCTGTGACATCTTTCTGCTAAATCATCCGTTTGCTTTGAAGAGCTATAATTGTGATTCATCTATCTAAATAGCCTGAGAGATTTTGCTTAATAGCCACATATCAGTGTAATAAGCTATCTTTATTAATGTAACCATATTAAAAAATTCTCCTAAAAGCCAAGCCCTTTGCCATCATGCCTTACTACCAATAGTGCTTTAAGAAAAGAAACATTTTATAGGTGTACCAAGATGCTGAGTGAGTTAGAGTCTTCCAGTTTGGTTTATAATTTTGTTATCCAGAACCAGTGCAATGTGTATGAGATGGGAATTGCTCTACTAAGCAAATGGATGTTTTACTAATAGATTTGTGGCAACACATTGGCATACTTCCTTTCTGAAACAAGGAAGCAATGTCTTGAAAGCATTTTAAGTGTAATGTTATCTCACTATTCTGTTAAAAACTGTATCCTTTTAAGGAAATATATATTTAATGGAGCATTACTAAAAATTAGCACTGTAGACTAGTTTGAAGATAAGATATGGTATGGTTTTGTGTGTGTGTGTGTGTGTGTGTGTGTTGGTCCTGGGACTCAGACTCCCTTGAGATTTTTAGATCAAGAATAGCACTCTTCCACTTGTGCCTTAGTTCTACTTTCAGCTTTAAGTGGTTAACTGAAGATAAGAGTCTCACAGACTTTTCTGCCTAGGCTGGCTTCAAACAGCAATCCTCAGATCTCAGTCTGCTGAGTAGCTAAAATTATAGACATAAGCCACTGATGACTGGAATGCTCTGGAAAAACAAAACAAACAAATCCTATATTCACTGAGATCATATTAAACCTATATACATTGGGCTGAAGGAAAATAACTGTAAAAAATGAGATAATAATTGCCTAAAAGAAATAAGTACTACTTAGTGTTTATTTTTATTATGTTTATATAACCTAAAATGAGTGAGTCTAATTAGTCTCTTACTATTGTTTGCATGAAGAAAATTTATCAGTGTTTATCTCTACCTTTTTTTTTCTCAGTACTTAGACTAACTGAAATCATATCAATATTGTTTCTCTTAACAGGAAATTAGGGCTACTGTCTTTCTGATAGATTTCATAGCCTCATAAAATACAACATAAGTGAGTTCTGAGTTGCATTGTGTATCCAGAACATAAATTATTGTAGCGAATATATATTTTCTCAATCAAGAAGAAATACCGGCACCCCAAATCTTTGTACTTTAGTTTTATCCAAGTTACTAAACAGGAGCCAGTAAGCTCTATATCAACAGAAAAAACAAAAATAGAAACAAAAAAAAACCTATTTTCTCTCTCTGTACATGATGACATACAGACATGAGCCACAGAATAGAGCCTGGTCTTCTTGCCAAAGGGTAGAAGCTGTTTTAGGCTTCTCTTGCTTCTAGAGTAAAAAAAAAAAATCTACAAATAGTATAATACTTAACAATCCAAGCCATGTTTTTTTTTATCTTTCTCTAATATAAAGCCAAGTATGTGGAAAGGCTTAGTGTATGAGCTTTGTACATAGGGAATGGAAGACCTGTGGAAGACTGGGGAAAAATTCCTGTACCTCTCAATAGTTAACCTACTTGATGATTAATGGTTAATCTAACTTACGTACTCTCTATTCCAATCCCACTCCCAACACACACCACCAGGTAAATGTTTAGCTGCTCTTAGGTCTGGGAAATACTTTTATTTCTTCTGCAAAGAATCAAAACAGTCAGTAAGTAATAATGTTTAGGAATATCTATTTTTTCCCAGAAATATAATCCATTTGTATGTGTACATGTGTTTATTATATCTTTACTTATATGTTTCTGTATTCCAAAATTATGAACTATTTAGACTTACACTATTCAACATAACAGTCCCTAACCACACATTGATTCTGAGCATAAGAAGGTCTTCCAATCCAAATTAAAATGTGTTTTAAGTGAAATATGCACACTGAATTTCAAAGAGTAAAGTATAAAAATAATAGAAAAGGTCTTCCTAAATGATTTTATATTGACTTTGTTCAAACAATAATAATGACTACATTTGGTATTATGGATTGAATATAATATTAAAATTATTTTCACCAATTTCTTTTTCACCTTCCATAAAAATTTTAAATTATACCTGTAGGTCTTAGTCTATTTCAATGTTGAGTGATCCTCTAGGCAGAAGTAAAATTGGGTACAGAAGTAATAAAATGGTTTGGAAGCCTTACGGGAAGATTTTCAAACTCCATCTCATCTCTTGGGTGATGGAACATTCCTGCCCATTGTTCTGACATATGTATTAATAGCATCCCCACTATATCTCTGAGCTATATGGATGAAAGTCATGTTGTATTCTGCACATAGCCTATATGTAGTTGCTTTCGTTGTTTGCTCGGTGAGAAGAGAGAGAAGCATCTTTCAAGAGAACCAGACAAGTGCCACATCCCAACTCTTACCTGGGGCTTCAATATGGCAAAGACATGAGCCCAAAGGATGTGGACATCACATTCTTTTCTATATATCAGATACCACAAATTTCCATGCTGCTCACATCACTTCAGCCATACAGTAGTTAACTTCTTTCATTTGAAAGCAATGAGGAATATGAAGTGTGTGATAATATAGCTCTCTAGCAACCAGTGTGAGAATAATTTTTTTTAAAGCATGTTCTGTCGCATTTCAATCCAATATCCAAGAAGTGGGGGGGGGGGGCAATCAGAATTCCCATCTCTTAAATAAAGTGTTCACATGTAAATAATTCACAGATGGCAGCACCCCAAGTGGCTCATGTTCAATCATTTCTAAGAAATGAAAGTTACTCATAATCCACAGCATACGAATCTGAAGAATGAATTTTTGACACATTTGATTATGTTGAAATATTGCTTTTAAAACCACAGTTGATGACTGTTATTTTTAGTTGGAGTTCATTAGGCTTACTGTAGAGAAATGATATTTCACTGGTGCTCAGAGATACTTGTTTCTGAAAAGTTAAAGAAGTTGTTCTTTTCTGATGATTAAGTTGTTATGAATTGGATGTTTGAGATGTGTGCAGTGAAATACATTAGAACTTTTAAACGGGCCTAAAATAATACAAACATACATTCATGTATACATATATACAGTCCTAAATTAGAAAGAAAAATCTGATTTTCTGTAAGGTCAAATTCTATAGCCACATTGAGAAACCGCCAAAGCAGCTTTTCATTAAAATAGTACCAGAACAGCATGGAAATTTGTTTCTTTCCTTTCTCCTTTCATATCAAAATAGAGTAGTTATTAATGTGCAAATAACAAATGGTTATTGGTCCTTCAAGGCAGTAGCAAATTTTATTCCACTGACTGGTTTTGAATTAAGGAAGAGAATCCTAAGGACAGGATATTTTAGTGACAGTCTGCTTATTGGAAGTCTTACCTTCCTTTCCTTTATTGTAACCTAGTGTTCTTGGCTTAAGGGCATACCATAAAACCAGGCCCTTGAAATTGATGTTCCTGAATTTGTGGACTGAGGGAAACTCTAAAACAGATGTGATTTTTTTTCTTAATATCCGGTTAACTACTATGTTGTTTTATGTTTTAATGGCTGTTTATAGTTTTGAATTTAACCCTTAAGGCAGACTGATCCCGCAGGGTGAGTAAATTAAAAAGTGGATTCCTGAAAATTATGGTAATGTTGTTGTTCTCCTTTGGTAAAAGGACCTTGTTTTATATCCATTACTTGTTTTACATGACTAAAATTAAGAAAATATTAATATGATCTCTTTAAGTTTAAACCTATAATACACACATCTTCATCTAAAAAAAAAAGCTGAATTTTTTTATGATTGTTAAATGAGAAATCTATGGGTGATTTCAAGGTATCTGAAAGTTTCACCAAAGTAGTATGGCATCAATATGTGTGTATATATTTGGTGTGGGGTGTGTGTGTGTGTGTGAGTGTTACATGAAAAGGACTCACTCTTCACATTTTAAAAAGATAACAGTATATCACAATCAAAAACAACTGTTTTAGGATTAGAATACATGATACTTGGCAAGTAGCGATTCTTGAGTCTGAAGGATGATAATGATGAAGTAGAAAATTTTTCATTCTCATCATGAAAATAGGTAATAAATAATTAAAATTATTTTGTATCCTTGCCTTCGTTGTCCAGCATGTAGTATATAATTTCATAATTTCAAGGTTTTAAGCTGAGTAGCATGTCTCAATTTTCTGATCTGAGGAACTGAAAATCCCTGTTTATTCATTAGCAGCACAATTTTCAGCTATTCTAAGATTAAGGATGAAAGATGCAGATGGTTCTGAGGAGACACTCTAAGGAGAAATATTTCCAGTACTCCAGAGTATATG